TTAACTCTGTTAATAGGTATAATCTATACAGGTTGAAATTTTTTTTCAGTTTATTACTGTATTCCATAATTTCATAATACTTTGGAGTCTGGAGGGTAGATTAAGGAAGCCACATTGTTGGGGGTCTCACAGTGGAGAGGGATGGAGCTGGGCTCTGAGCTTCATCACCATTTACCTCTGCAATCTCATGCACAGCCCAACCTCAGAATGGAAGCTATCAGGTGGATTGTTCAAGGTGTCTTAGTCTCTAAGACAGGATAGTGTATCCATTTTCAAAGAAGTTTCTCCTTCCACAAGTCAGAGAGTGCAGATTGATTGTTAGGTGTTATAAATGTTGTTTGTTGCTCCAGGGAGGTAGAATATATGTCACCTAAATTCCAATCTAACAGTACTGAACAAAAACTGGCCACTTCAGAAATATGTGACTGAGCCCTGAAAATCAATCACTGGTCACCCCATGTGAATCAGTGAGCAGGGTGCTTTGACTAGCTTTCTTTTTCCAGTTCTGAGGAGGTTCATGTTCATTAACACTGCAAGCCAGGTCGGAATTCACAAGTCTAGGATGTTCATTCCAAACCTCATATTTCTATGAGAAAAAAAAATAAAGAATTTTGTTCTGAGTTGTATTTCAACAGTGCCAGAAATTGACATCTTATAAGCAAATGTATCTACATCATGCTAAAAATAGTGGGTGCTTCTAATTGTGAACCATTTTCCCGTAAAGAGACCCTTCAAATGTATACTCCTAATGCAATTGACACAGAGATATGGAAACCCAAGTCACATGAGTCACTCAAGAACTTTTAACTTAAGACAAATCTTGTGTCAGAGTCAGTTTACTGTGAACTAAATGGCATTGTAACATTTTCTTGCCAGTGTATTTTGGGATCTTTATGTTTTAAAAATGATCTTAGGATGAAAAGTCTTCTCAGTCTTTTGGCTAAGATCAAGTGTTAAATGATCTTAGGAAAGTGCAAGTGGACTCAAGATGAAATCCTTCATTTGAGATCATATTTATTTATCTATATTTGCCCATATCATCTATAATGTTGTATAAATGCATTTCTATATGCTTAAACATATGCCTACTACTAAACATACACTGTCCTGCTAATCCCTGAGAGCTGAGGAGGGGTTGCTATAACCTCCAATTGTTTCTTCATGTGTGAATATATCAAACATCATGAAAGACTCCTATGTCTGTCCTTTCACAGAATAAGAGGACCCTGGTGCTGGCACAGTGGACCACAGGAACAGCTCTTATTCCTCTGAGGGCACAGCCAGTATCACCCAGTGAGGTGAGCAACAGGGATCACTCGTGCTTTCATATGCAATGTACATCATTCATGCAAATGCAGAATTACGCAATCAAATTAAAACAGCAAGCCTTTAATTAAATTCAGCTTCTCTGTCAATCTTGAAGCTAAATTCTGCAATTACTGGGCTTAACCTGCAAAACATGGAAAGATCCTGGTTCTTCCTCTTCCGGGTAATAGCTCCCAGAGGTGAGAATTTCAGAGTGGTACCTGGCCTGTTGGAGCCCTCAAAGCCCCTTCCCCTCACCTGCTCAGTCTCTGGTTACTTCATCACCAGGGGTTATAACTGGAACTGGATCCTTGAGATTCAAGCAAAGGGGCTGCAGTGGATGGGGTGGATTAGTAGTAGTGGGAAAGTACAGCTTATAAACTGTCTCTGAAGAGCCAAGTCAGCATCTCCAGAGACACATCCAAGAATCAGTCCTATCTGTAACTTAACAACTCTGTGACAAATGAGGACACAGTCACGTATTACTCTGAAAGGGACATAGTGGGAGAACTTTAGTGTGAGCAGTCACAGACCTCCATGAAGGAATGCCTACAATCATAAGATTTTGTTGGAACCACCAGGGGGCAATGGAGATCTACTGAGCGCTATGAAGGGCCCCAGAAGCAGGTGCAAAGCAGGAAGCTGGGGAGAGAGGGCTTCCTGTCAGATTTTGAGTCCCCTCTTTATGTAAACAACACATGACTGGCAGTGACCCTGGAGTTCATCTATTGCAGTGGCCTAATGAAGAATCACTTCCAAAGAAAATACATGTCATTTTCTCTGTTAAACTTTCATTCATAGATGTGTGTATTTCATTATTTCTGTCCGTGTTTTGTGTTTTGAATGTTTGTGAAAACTAATCCTGTCTTGCATCACTCAAAGCAGACAGTGAATTTTCTTAAGTCAGGTTGTTGTGGGGAAAAATGAATCCACATTAGCCAGAAGCTCAGGAGAAGAAAGGAAATTCTATTGACCCTAGCAGATGCTAGAGGAGTTATCACCAAGGTCTGAGGTGAAGTTTACACAGAATTTGTCTTTTGAAAGGTTAGTGTGGAGAAGTTTCAAGCATGAGATGTTTCTACTTGAAAGTCATGGTAGAATGTGTGTCTTGTGCTCAGCACAACTGTATGGAGCAAAGTTGTTTTAGCACAGAGAAGTTTTAATTTGATGATGTCGGTCTGGCCAGATAGCTCAGTGGACCAAAGCGCCTGCATTGGAAGAGCACTGCTACTGAGGTTCAATCTCAGTTGTGCTGTGTCTTCCCCGCCCCTAGGGCACACTGAGCCAGTGATTGAGACTGGGCATGGTGGGGAGAACCTATAATCCCAGCACTTGAGAGGCTGAAAACAGGAGAATCACTACGAGTCTGATCTACATAGTGAGACCCTGTACACCATGTAGACCATGTCCTAAATGATAATAATAATAATAATAATAATAATCTGATGATGCCATATGATTTGGCTGAGCTCAGTGGCAGAGAATAGAATGACTGCAGTTTTGTCTAATAAAATACTTGCCGTTAACTCAGCATTTCTGCTTTAAAGTAACTTTGGAATTTCAAATCATTAGCAACTAAAATTTAACTTAGTCAAGTCTTGTGGTAGGCATTTATAATGCCAGCACTCAGGAAGAAACAGGAGAACTTCTGTGACTTCAAGGTCAATCTGGTGTTCACAGTGACTTCAAGACCAACCTGGAACAAATAGTGAGACCCTGTTTCTAAATAATATATAATATCAGTGATAATCACCCATCATTGCTCATCTTCGGTTTCACTGCAAGTTGGTGTCTGGGCTCACACTAAGGTCTTCTTTCTTCATATTTTGCACAGTAACACAGGGAAGAGTCCACTGTTGTCACAGATAAGCAATAGGGACTAATAGTGATAATTATTATTTCATTAGAATAATAATAATAATATACAGACTTCTGTGTAGTTCTGTTGTAATTTATCTAGTCCTTTATCCAAATCATAATAAATCATGAGATTTTATTGGAACTGCTTCACTTCTGTTGCCCTTGTATGTGTTTATGGACTGATTTAAAACATGGGTGCGGAAGGCCAGAATTATTCCTCTAGCAACAATGTCAATGCCCTAACATCACTGACTCAGAAAGTGTCTCCTACAAGCATCATTCTGTTTGCACATAAGATTCTTGAATCATCTTAAGGAGCTTCTGAGGTGCGTTCTGATAGGAACTGGTTTTCCTGATGAAAGCTGTAGTACAGAAACATAATGACTTGCCAAGTTCATATAGCTGGGAGAGACTGTGCACTCAACTTCTACCTGCTGTCACCTTCCCAATACCAATACAGCTACTTTCTCAGACATATTGAATCGGAATAATTATTTTCCCATTCTAATCATGAGTATCTTTGTTCCAATCTATTGTTCCTTCCTTTTTCAGAATGTCACACATAAGGAAATCAATAAATAATGGGAATATACTCTTCATACTAATGAGTCTGGAATGCTAAGAGGATAGAACAAAAATCAAGTGAAACACTTTTTCTGCATGATATATTATTGAATGTCAGTTGACCATGTGTGTAATAGAAAGCACAAGTGACTTATTTCATAAGATTATTAACTCAGATATCCTCCATTTTCATGTTAATATCAAATCTTGGCATTCAGTAGAGGAAACATTCATGTGACTATCAACTGTAATGGGTTCCCTGTCTCAACTCTCTCCTTAGATACTCTGTTGCCAAATATGAACTTTGGAGGACACAGTGAATTTGACATTGGGTTACTTGTTTGAAATCTTCCATATGAATCAAGAAGCAACCCACAGTGCATGGAGGTCCACGTTAACCCTTGGGTGTCCATGCCCTAGGAATAGAAACCTCAGCTTCACTCAGTCTCCACTGAATGATTTAGTTTTAGTGCAGTGACCAGGATCCAGTTTTTCCTATGCATCCTTTTTGTTCACTTAAATATTTCCCCCCCTACATCAGATGAAAAAAAATAACATTTAGAAAAACAAAAAACAAATTATTGAATGATCAAGGCTTGCTGAGAGTCAGAGTTTTACTTAGTATTATAAAAGTGATGTTCTAGTAAATGATTCAAGAACAGTTTAAATACTCTGAGGCTCACATTCACAGTAAATGAATAGAATGTAACATTAGCTTTATGTATTGTGGTATCTCTATTAAGACGTCAGGAAACTTACTCTTCTATAGGACAGAGACCCAAAAACCTGAACACACTTGTGACCCATATTCAGGTAGAATCCACTGAGTCCATTAAGATATCTATGGATAGCCCTTAATGCAAGCATTCTTCATGGGAGGTGAGACTGATATTGTGGGGAAGAGACGTGTCCAGAATTTCCTAGATTACAATCTATTATTTGATCTGGGCATGGTGCCTCATGCCTATAATCCCAGCCTTTGAGAGCCTTAAGCAGGAGGCTCACTGTGAGTTCGAGGCCAGCCTAGGCTACCAAGTGAGATCAAGGCCATCTTGAACTGCGCAATGAAACTCTTGTCTCAAAAAGATAAAAACTAAATGAATAAACGATAAGAAGAGGTTTGTTTCTCTTGTTACTATCAGCTCAGCTGTCAGGCAACGGAGCAGGGGCCAATCAGCAATGAAGGAGCGGGCTGGCTGAATTACCCAATCAATTGGGCCCAGGGAGGTGGGCTTTTTTTGTGTCAAGGCGCTGCGGTGAGTACTGAATGGGTTGCTGAGAGGACGCAGCTGACCAGACGGTCTTTTTCTGTACTTTTCACTGGCTACGAGCTGCATTGGAAGGATCCCGGGAAACGCTCAAGCTACGCCATGGTGACGTTGTGGGACGGGGTAGAATAGGGCACGTTCCGACTCAAGTGGTCAGAAACAGCTGCCGCTAACTGCAGCCTCCCTGCTTAGCTCCAGACACCGAGGTCCCCTAGTCTTAGGTGCCTCATCCTCATCTGAAACATTTTCCCCTTTGCTCAGGCAGGGTCAGTTCTGGTCCTCCAGCACACAAACACTGTGCTATGACTGCTACCTCACAATACCTTCTTGTTTGGCCCCACGCAAACTTGTGCCTCCCCGGGTCTGCAGAAAGCAGGGGCTTTGGGAAAACCTGGGTTCCACACCCAGCGATTTAAAAAAAGTCATCGTTTTAATTTTTAACGTTAAGACCCCTAGTTTCAACGATGTTAGTGCATAAACACAGCTCCTGTTGTCACATAGACATATGAAGTCGCAAACCACAAGGTGGGTGTTAGGAGAGATTTTATTGGAAATAGTAAGAAAAATAGTTCAGTGAGTTCCAGAAGTGTTCCGGCGTGGCCACTCCATCCAGAGCTAATTACAGATAAACAGCACAGTAAATGCTCGGTTGTTGAGTGGGCACCTATCTCAGAGGGCGCTGTGGATTTAAAACGATCGCTTTGAACTCAGGCTCTCTAACCAATTTTCCTCAACATGCACTGTTAAAACAGATCTGGCATTTTAGAAAAAACACTGGCTATTTTGTACTCTGATCTCCTGGAAACTCAGGCACTTAGTGAGAGTGGCCGCAATTCCTTTTAGGAAGTAGCAGGCTGAATTCTCTGTTGTGAAGAAAGTGTACTCTTGGTCCGACCTCCTGGGTAGTTTGCCATTATCATTTTAATTCTTATCAAAATGCTTAATTTCACAACTCTATATCAAGTTCTTCCTTTGCTAGCTCTCTTATTTATAAGTTAGCTAATAAACTCTTCTTTACAATTAGAATATTTAAGTGAGGGTTTCCATAGAGTTTAAAATGCTAAGATGGCCAGACCCAGTCCTAGCCCAGGTCCAGTGAGTGTGCGGAGAGTTTCCTGCTACCCTGCGCCTGCAGGACCAGTCCCAGCCCAGGCGCAGCGTGGGCCGGACCCTCTCCCA